TAATACGTCTCCCAGCCACAACCTGGAGATGAAACACCTGCCTGGCGCTGACCCCGAGCTCGTGCTCCTCAGCCACAGATACGTGGAGCTGGAGGTGAGAGGGCAGTGGCGTGCTGGCCGCTGCCACAGGGCTTGAGGCAGAAAGCACTCTGCAGATGCCAGCACAGGAAGAGCTGGTGGAGCAAGACCTGCTGGCATCCAGCCTGCTGGCAGGGTGCTGACCTGGAGATGAAACACCTGCCTGGCGCTGACCCCGAGCTCGTGCTCCTCAGCCACAGATACGTGGAGCTGGAGGTGAGAGGGCAGTGGCGTGCTGGCCGCTGCCACAGGGCTTGAGGCAGAAAGCACTCTGCAGATGCCAGCACAGGAAGAGCTGGTGGAGCAAGACCTGCTGGCATCCAGCCTGCTGGCAGGGTGCTGGGGGAGCGGGGTGGCAGGAGACCTTGGCCATTGGAGCCCATGCCTCCCTGTGCCAGTCTGCGCAAGGAGCCTGGGCTGGGTGCAGAGGGGACAGGTGCTGCAATCTCTGTCTCTGTGCAGAGAATCCCCCTGAGTGACATGACCCGGGAGGAGATCAACCAGCTGGTGCAGGAGCTGGGCTTTTACCGCAAGGAGACGCCCGATGCCCCTGTGCCTGAGGAGTTCCAGTTTGCCCCTGCCAAGCCTCTGCCTACCTTGCCACTCCCTAAAGCTCATGCAGCTGAGAGCAAGACCCCATCCGAGCCTGATAACGAAGAGCACCCAGACCTCTAGGAAGCAGTGTGAGGGGGTGCCATACTCAGGATGAATGCAGTGGGAAGAGGGTCGTGAAGCCAGATCCTAGCACATGAGGATGAGGCCGTTAGAACAGCTGCCTCTCCTTATGGGGCTAGGAATAGTGCCATGGTCTAACCAGGAAGCAGAGATGTCTTCTAGCTGCCTCCCACCATTGCTTGGTGCTGTGTAGCTTCTGCTACAGGGATTGCCCTGAGCAGCTACAGCCCTGAGCAGAGGCTTCCTGTGCATTGTGGGGTCTGTGTGCCCATCGTTGCCCTCCCTCCCCTACAGCCCAGTAGCTGCATCCATTCTGGCATGTTTTTTTGAGAAGCTTTTCTCCCCCCCCCCCCCCCCCCCCAACTCCCCTGCCACAAGGTATAGTCAACATACAACACTTGGCAGCAGTATCCTACCTACATGGGACAGGATGAAACCCTCAGCAGAAAGCCCTAGGTGCTGAGAGTAGATGTGCTGAGTCCTGGAGGGTGGGAGAGCTGCCTCCTGGGAGGGTATGGCTTTACACCATCATCCTCATGGTCTCATATCCAGCCCACAGTAAAGGCCTTGCACACATCATGCTGCACCATGTCATTCTTCCAGGCAGGTCTCAGTGCGGTATGTGTCACACACTGCTTTGTAGTCAGTTCCTGGTGGAGCTGGGTGCCACATCTGTGGCAGAGCAGCTTGCAGAGGTGGGAGGAGTTTGCAGGGTGGCCCTGGGTATGCAGTTACTGCTAGCAAGCTGACAAACTGGCCCATACAATATCACTGGGCTTGTGCCTGCGCAGCCCCCTTACTTGTTAGATGCCGCAGGCTCTGTGGCTTTGAATCATCATTGCTTTCTCATGGGGAGCAGGGGGATGGGATATGGCTCTTGGATGGGGTACTGCAGTGGCTGAGCTGAAGCCTGACTGTTCCCTGTGCTTGCCCAACTGAGGCATTTGCACTCTGGCAGAAGATTGGAGTGGAGAGAGCAGCTGCAGCGTCTGCAAAGAAGCCAGCAGATGTTCAGGATGTTGTTGGAAGCATGGGGTCTTTCCCACTCTGCCAGACCTGGCTGTGGCGGTAAGCCAACAGGCCCTCAGCCAGGGGGAAACACTGACAGTGCCTCTTAGCTCCAGCAGTTGCCCCTGTCCAGGAAGAGCTGCACGTACCCCACCACCTCAGTCAGAGATGGGTGAGTGGGCCTGTGCACAGCTACAGGCAGAGGGGTCAGCTCTGAAAAGGCAGGGCTAGGAACGCATACCCTGGATGAGGGGAGGAAGCTAAGCCTTGGTGATGTGCTCTGGTGGCACGAAGCAGTGGTGTCACTGGGAAGGGTCTGGAGATAAGGATCTGAGGTAGAGGCATCACCCTATAGAATAAACCTTTATTGTCTGGCTGGTGTTGGTACACGTGTCAACGCAGGTGTAGAGACAGTGATGAAGGGGTGAGTGGTGCTGAGCACACAGTGCCCAGAGCTGGGGAGGAGAGCAGGGACTGGCTGGGCCCATGGCCCTGGCCTGCACCTCAGGCCCCTTATTTCCCTTTGAGCCCTCCCCATCACCCCTCCAGCTCCCCAGCAAAAAAGATGCTACAGATCCCCGGTGTGGAAGTGCCCCCAGGCACATGTGCACGGTGGGAAGCAGGGTGTCAGCACAGGTGCTGTGGAGCCATCCTGAGGGAGGTGGCACCAAGCAGGGACTGTGGTGGGCAGAGAGGCTTCCTTGCAAGATGCCAAGAAGAGTAGCTTTCTCTGGGGCCACATGGAGAACCAGGTGCTCTGTCTCATGGATGCACCATAACCAGCAACTCATGACAGAGGTGTGGGCCCTGGGCCAGATGGGCCCTGCTGGCTGGGGAGATGCCAAGAGCTGCACAAGCCCGCACAGACTGCCGGATGCATGGACCCAAGTAGGTCCAATGCCTGAGGGACACAGCCATGCCCTGGCCTCCCTGAGGAAGCAGGGGCACTGCCCACAATACAAACTCCTTGAGACTGAATAACTTAATACAACAGAGAGCGGGAGGAGAGGAGAGCCCAGCTGGAAGCGGGGAAGGTGGCATCCTTGGCAGTGTCCACCTGGCTCCGTCCTGCCCTGCCTGTAAGTTCAGCTCTCAGCCAGCCAGGGACAGAGGCTTACGGAGGGAGCTCCAGCAAGGCCCAAGTATGGGGTAACCCAGGATGGCAGAGACCACCCCACCCCCAGCCCCACAGTGCCAATTTCTCAGCATCACTGGGCTCCTCCCACCAGCCTCTCCGCTGGGGCAGGCAGCTTCTCCGCACACCAGCGTCCCTGTGGGGAGAGGGGGGCAGTGAGGTGTTGGTCTGCTGCAGGCCAGGGCAGGCTCTAGCATTCTTTCTGCCGCAAGCGCAACTCGTGGCGACGCAGGTGATTGTAGAGAGACTGCACATAGGTGAAGACGCACTTGGAGTCTGGCTTCTTCCCCATGATCATCATGTCTTCCACCTCCACCAGGGGCACGCAGTCCACCAGCATCCTTGGGGAGAAACAGCCCTTAGCATGGCCACCATGGAGGCTGCCCCTGCCTGCAGAAGGCCAGGATGTGTCCATGCCACCCAGGGCCCTGCCCAGACTGGGTATCTCTTCCCTGACCCCACTCAGCTCCTGCTTGCCCCCCCTTCCCCAGTCACTTCTGGCTCTGGGAAGCGTGTGTCGTGCCTACAAGGAAGGGGCAGCCAACTTGCCTGCACTGTCAACTGCTAGGCCCAGGCTGGGCCTAACTTCTCCTTCTCTGGCCCCCACCCCAGGAGCAGTCTCTGCCCCACCTACTGGCATGCCTACATCTTAGTTGCCTGCAGTCACCTCTTCCCCCGCCTGCTGCCCTCTTCCCCCTGCCCCCACCACAAACCTCCCACCAACTCTCAGAGCAGGGCATGCCCACCTCCTTCCTTCTCCAGCTGATGCTGGTGCTTTTGGGGGAGAAACTTGACCGATTCCTTCCCTGGTCCAGGGAAAGGCCACATGGCAGTTACAGTTACAGGGGGTTCCTGGTCACATCTCTGTGCTTTATTCCTGGCACACACTTTGGCCACTTGTTTTCCCCACTTTCTTTCTGCTATGCTAGCTTGTTTCTTTTCCAAGTGCTCAGTCAGGGCACTCAAAAAAGGGGCCGTGTTTGCTAAGTGTGCTACAGCAATACCATAGCTGCTGGTGGGCTGGATATTGCAGAGCTTTGAACATCTCAGAACTAGTGTACATGGCTACTACAAACCTCCCCTGGTGCTGCTCTGAAGGTCTGTGCTGTGGCCCTTCCCCAGCCACTGCCAGGGCACAGCTTGTAGTGCCCCCCCCAAGGCACTGACAGCAGGCCTGTTGCTCCCTTGCCCCAGGGGCCAGATAGGGAGGGCTCAGAGAAGGCCTGGAGCCTCAGCCAGAGCAGTCAAGGCTTTCTTTGCTGACATCACTGCCCCTCTCTCAGGGGCTCTGTCCCTGCCCTACTCAAGTCACAGCAAGGAAAGCTCACCTACATGCTGCCCCTTTAGCGCCAGCAGCAAACCTGCTCCTTGCTCTGCTAGCCATACCAGTGCCACCCTGCCTAGCTCCTCAGGGATGCAACTTGCTCACCCCTGAGACAGGGCCTCCCTTCCAAGAGCCTGCCTGTTGCAAGGCAGCCAGAGGGTCCCTCCAAGCAGCCCTAAGTCTGGCTGTGAGGGAGCCATGGGGACTGTTGGGAGGCAGGGAGGGATGAGGAGGTACAGAGGGAAGGGAACCAGCCAGCTCCACTACCTAGTGTTTCTGTCCAAGACCTGGGGCATGTGGAGGTGTGCTTAGGAGCACACTAGCAAATACAGGCTGGTCCTGCTGCTGCCTGCCAGACTGCAGCTCACAGTTGACTCACTTGGCACTGCCGCAGGTAGCTACATCCCATTCCACCTGGACAAAGCTCCAAGGATCTTCGCTGCTTTTCTGCAGCAGTAGCTGCACCCCTGCTGCCAGCCTTGGCCAGACAGTGCTGCAGGCACCAGCACCCAAGAGAGGAAGGTGCCAGAGGACTCCAAGGCACATTGTGTTACTGTCAATGGTGGCCCGCAAAGGAACACTGTTCTTACAAAATGCCTAGAGTAGAGCCTGTGCTAGCACCCAGAGGCTGTACAATGACAAAATGGCATGCCCCTAAGGACAGGGCTGGGTCGAAGTAGGCTCAAAGTAAAGTCATGGGACAGAGAGGGGAGCAGGGGGCCCAGGCCCTTGCTCTGGGCTTCCACACTGTGCCCAGGGGAAGAGTGCAAAGCCAGGGCAAAGTCAGGAGCATCCACCCAGGCCTAGCTCTAACCAGCCCCGCCTGCCAGCCACACAAGGTTGAGCTGGCCCTTCTCAATGAGAGGAGGGTGGGAAAGGCTCTGCACATGCCTTGTTACGCCAGGCCTGGTGGACAGAGGGATGGCAGACTGAGGCAGGCCCCACCTCAGACACCAAGATCCCACAGCACCACGGCAGATGTGCCATTGTGTGTCCCCTGAGCTGGACACCCAGGGAAGGGGAAATGGGAAAGTTGTCTGGTAGAAAGTCAGGGGGGCTCCCTCCCACACAGCCAAGGAAGAACCAGGCAGCCAAGCAGTCTGGTCCCCAGGCACCACAGCCCCGCTTCAGCCAAGGGCTCTAGCCCTAGGAAGGAGCTTGCCAAGGGCAGCTGGTACAGCTGGCATTAAAGGGATAAACAACTACCCCTCGCTAGTGTCTGACCCTACAACACCCCCTCCCCCCCAATCCTTCTCCCTCTCCACAGGCTGCAGAGACCCCACTAAACTTGCTGCCCCTCCAGCACAGCCTGCCATATACCCCATCCATCCCTCCCAGCCCCAGCTCCCCACAGCCCTATGCCTGCAGGGAACATTCCTGGGCCAGCCCTTTGCTGCAGCCCTGGAGCAGAGGGGCTGCCGGTTTGGTATAAGCACAGCCCAGGACAGACCTGGAGCCAGTTCTAGGCCTCCAGGCAGGGAAGTAGTGGAGGCATGGACCCAGGAGCTAGAAAGGAGTCAAGGCAAGCCCTGTTGCCTCTGGCCTCTGCATCGGTGCTGCAGCCTGCTTCCACCCCTCGGTCACCATGGGACCCAAACAAGTGCCAGGGCTTGGACTAGCCCCACTATCAGCTCTGTTGCCCGTCTTTCATGCTCTGCCACCCCTGCTATCTCACCAAGCCTCCACAGAGTTGGAGTGAAGAGGCTGTGGGAGCAACAGGCTCTGAATCCAGGGGCATGGCCAGCAGCTGCCTCACTTCATGATTTGGCTGCCTGAGGGGACACCCTCAGCATCCTGAGGAAGCACCTGTCCAGGTTTTGAGAAGCAGTGGTGGTGCAACGCCCCCCACGACAGTCGACCCAGACTTGTGCTCAGCCCTTACTCTGATGAAAAAGCTCAGGCAGCCCAAGGAGACAGTTTCTGCCCTTATAAAGGCATTGTTTAGGGCTCGGTGTGCTCATGCACCATGGAGCCAGGGGGAGAGGAGGCTCCAGCGCCAGCTGGGATGCCCCTGAAGACAGGCACAAACACTTCAAGAGGCAGGACTGAAGCCTTGAGTCACACTTTCCAGGCTCCCCTCTCTTGCCCATATATGAGCAGGCAGCACCTCGCTGGGAGAGCACCATCACCCACGCCTGACCCTGCAGCACAGCATACTGCACAGCCTCCCTGGCAGAGGCCAGCAGCTCCCTCTGCACACGGTTCCAGGGCCTGCAGCCCCAGCACTCCCAGGGAAGACAACCCCAGAGCACAGGGGAGGGGAAGGAGGCAGCAAGTGCAAGCAGTGAGGCTGGGGCATCCCGGGAAGCAGTCAGGCCCCTGTGGGGGGCAGATGAGGGCTTACCCTTGTGCTCACCCATAACCTAGGCAGTGCTGTTCCGGGATCCTGCTGCTGAGCGCTTAGGTGTAACTAAAGCACCAGTCCCCAGCAGCTAATCCCCCTGCTCTGGATCAGCAAGCTGGGAGGAGAGCAGATGAGTGCCACGACACCTCCATTCCCACTAGCTGCCAACCGCAGTGGCTGGAGAGCAATCAGTCCACTTGAACTAACATAGTATTCCCCACCGCTGGCCCCAGATTCCTCCTACCCACCCTCCCCATGAGCAATATTTACTGGGAGGACAGAGGCCAGGGGTTGGTACCAAGCCAGTCACCTCCATCCCCTCTCCTGGCAAGAGGGCCACAGCTTTGCACCATGGGCTGACAAGACAACTCAACCCTCACCCATCAGAGTCCCCCATTCTCTTCCCAGGACCTGGTGGCTGCTCCCCAGCCCCTCCTGTCGAGAGCACGGCCAAGCTGTGGGGGTGTGGGCAGGCGGGCATGTGGGCAGTAGTTTGACAGGAAGATTCTCACCATCACTCCCAGGGGTGAAAATAGGCTACGACTTTTTGGTTTTTACCAGCCCCTTCTGGACCAGGCAGCGATAGAATTCCTGAATGTATGTGTACACACACTTCCAATCCGGCTCGCGCATCCGGATCATGTCCTCCACGTCCAGCAACTGCGGACAATCTGCGTGCTTCCTGGGGGCAGGGAGAGAGAGGGGGAAGCCAGTGACCGCAGCCCAGTCAGGGAGGGGGGGAGGAAGAGAGAAAACAAGAGAGACATATCAATGCAGTTCCCATTCCCCAGGGCAGATGCTGCTCTGCTCTCACATGCTCTGGGGGTGCGCGATGCAGGGCAGGATGGGACCAGGCACCGCTGCGCTCCAAGGCCATTCAGTGAGACTCAGAGGGGGCAGGGCTCACAAGCACAGGCTGCAGGAGGGTAGGGCACAGGTGAGCAGTGTGGACAGGCGTGAGGTCCAGAGGGGAACGACAGAACAAGACAGAGAAGGGAGTGATGTGTTCTGGCGCGCCGGGTGGTTGAGGAGCAGATTCCAGAGCGGAGCGGCACTCTATATAGCAAGTATATAGCCCGGGCCAGCAGGGCAGGGTAGACCTGACCCTCCTGCCCAGCTCCGCTTGGAATTGCATGGCATAGCCCTGGTGCAGGAAGCTCGGGAGAAGACGCTCACAAGAGCTGGAGGAGGAGGAAGGATGAGAGGCCACCTGGTTTCCAGGCTGGAGGGATCAATGGCTCTCTCAGTCCACGCACCGGTCCCAGTTAAGGCAAAAAGTATATTAACAGGATCGCCAAGACCCAGGTACACGGCCCCCCATTCCCGCTTGCTCCACTGGACAGCACCACAGCAGCAAGGGAGCTGGCTGGAGCTCCCAGCTCGCGCCACCACACTGGGCACCAGCCTGCTGCCAGTCATCAAGGCAGGCAAGGCAAGGACTCCTCAGAAACCCACTTGGCCCTGCTCAGAGGCAGCAGCCAGCCAGGTGCTGGAGGGAAGGAGGAGTGGACGGGAGGAGAGACAGAAGGAAGGAGAGAGGGCCTGGCTTCCAGCCCTCCAGCTGGATGCACTCCCATCTCTCAGCACCCAAGAAAACCAGAAGCAAAAGGGGAGGGGAAAAGACTCAAGAAGCTGCGATGGTGTCTGAGCCCTTAAAACTGTGAAGGAGGCACCCTGTATGTATGTATGAACCAGCCCTCCATCCCCCAGCTCTGCCAGGGGCTATGGTCCCATGCCCAATGTACTTAGAGAAGGCCATGCCCCCAGAAGGGGGTGGGAGGCCTGGCCTAGCCTCTGCACACAGAAGTATGGGTTCGGAAGCTGCCCTGACTTTGGGTCTCTGCCCCACAACGAAGTATCCCAGACCCATGCCCAATATCTCTGCACCAGACTGGGCTGTATTGGCCTCTTGTGGCTCTGTACAAACAGGCACTGCTTTCCCCAATGTCAGCCTGACCCAACCGCATTGCACAACATGGGAAAGCGATGCAGACGGGCCACTGAGCTTGGGACACAGCCGGCTTTCTCCGGGGCTGTGGCTCTTGCCCTGTGCCTGTGTTCTCCTCACCCAACTAGTGAGAGGAAGAGTTGTCCAAGCAAGGGACAAGTCATGCTCATAGCCCATCTGAAGGAGCATAATAATTACGTACTCTGCAGAGGAGAAGGCCACCTCGAAGTTGTGACGGCGGTTTTGGGGTGTGAGCTGGCTGTAGTCAAAAGCCTCAGGGAAGAAGTTGTGGACCAAGGCACAGAAGGCCATGCCATCACTCCAGCTGGACGAGAAGTTCTGGATGTCCACATGCTGTGGGGCAAGACAGTTACCCAGAGGGAGAGGGACTGACCCAGTCTAGCCAGGGATGGGGAGAGGAGGCGGCACTGACCTCATAGCCCCGGGTCTTGGCTCTGCACCAGTCCAGCAACATCTGCTTGATGCTGTTGGCATTAGGAACACCAAAGCTGGAGGAGCGCTGCACAGCTGTGCGTGACGCTGCAGGGTTTGCAGGACTGTGGGGGAAAAACACACAATGTTACCCACGTGGTGCTCAGTCCCACCCAGCCATTCTGCTGCAAGGCCTGTCCTCACCTCCCGCCTTCCTTCTGCAGCTTCTCAATCATGGCTTTGCGAGCCTGTGAGGCGGATGTCTTGGGCAGGCTCTGAGCTTTCATCAGTTCCTTCTTCTTCTCAGCCTGGCGCCGCTCCAGTGCGGCCAGGCTGTTCTGTCTTGAGGCACTCTCGTCTTCACGGTCAAAGATGCTGGAAGAGACAAAGGCAAAGCCTTAGTACTAATGGGGATGCAGCCAGCCCAGATAGGGGCACTTGGACTCCTCAGCCCCTTCCCAACCCTGGCCCAGAGGTTCATGTATCCCTGGTGGTTCAGAAATTTCCACACCCCTGTGACAGAATCAGCACTGCTCAAGGCTCCCTGGCTGGCATGTTCGGCTCACAGTGCTGTGGGTTCCCCTGAGAGGAGGGCTCACTGCCCAGAGTCCCACTCACAAAGGGACCCAAAGGCTTGTGCTGTGGGGACTCCTGGAGTAGGAGGCAACTGCTGGCTCTGGCCACCCCCCCGGACAGACCACCACAAGCTGGACAAAGAGGAAGAAGGTCTGCAACTGGACAACTGACAAGGACTGCTCTATCTGTCCTCGTGCAGGACTGCCATGAGGCTGGTGGAGGCACTGCCACTCACCTGCCCATCTTCTTGGAAGAAGAGCTGTAGGATGATTTGGTTTGAACAAATGTACTGCTCCCATCTGCAAAGAGACAGCAAGAGAGGCAGACTTCAGGCAGGAGCAAAGGGGGAAGGAGCCAGGCAGGCTGGATGGGCTTCACCATGTGCTCAAGGGCAGGGATGGCACCGAGACAGCAATGCCCTGGGGAAGGTGGTGATGCCCAGAGAATGTTGCAGAGAAAGGGCAGCACAAGCTCTTACTGTCTTGTCTCTTCACGTAACTCGACTCCATGGTTGTCATACGGGAAGTCTTGGTGCCATCGTCTGCAGGGGGAAGGCAAAGCGGGGTCAGTTAGGTCTGGATGCCACCACCACCCACAGAGACTGACTGCTGAGACATGTCCTGGCATCGGCATAGCATGACAGAGAGAAGTCCCGGATGGCCAGCAAGATGAATGGGCATAGCTGTGTCCAGGGCAGATATAGGGGTGTGAGATGGAAGGCACATACCAGCCCAGGCTGCAGAGACCAGACAAAGTAAAGAGGAGGCCAGGAGCAGAAGACAGACAGAAGGAGCAGAAAGGCAGAAGGGCCAGAGCAGCCCTCAATCTCAGACAGCATCTGCCAGCTTGAGCCAGCCAGCATGTCCAAGGGCTTGGAGACCTTGGAAGTGTGAAGGTATAGGTGACAAGAGATTGTCCTGAGGCACAGATAAGGCCCGTGCCAGCACTGAAGGGCAGTAAGGATGAGGTGGGAAGGGGCTAGAGCAGATCCTTTTAATGCTCAGGCCCTCGGGCAAGCTGTGGAAGAGCCAAGGAGACACTCCTTCCTGGCGCTGGAGGCTGGCAGAGGGAAGGCAGCTGGCCCACTACACTGGGCCCTAAACCAGGGTCCTGCTATCTCCAGGTTCCCTCCCAAGGTATAGCTGACCCTGTGTACCCACACCATTATCTCCCTCCACAGGGAGGGCAGTGGAAAGCACTTGGGTCTTTGTGCTGGCCCCCTGCCCAGAGCTCTGCAAGGCTCAGTGCATACCACAGACTGGACTGACATTTCAGAAATGCCATGGCTCCCTGAAGATGCTGCAGCCAGGCCAGGCCCAGGACAAGTGGAGAGGGAGCAGCAGAAACAGGTCTGAGCCTTGGCAGGAGAGAGCCAAGACAGCTCTCAGCATTGCCTCCTGAAGGGATGGTGGGCCTGCAGAGCTGAGCGAGCAAGACTTATGCTCTGCCAGCCCTGCCCTTACTAGACTGGATGAGGCGCTCAGTTTTGGTGACTGTGCTGCGGGCCGAGCCATCGGCCGACTGGGTGCTCTGTGTGGTGGTGGTCTCTGTGTTATGGCCTGCCCGCCCTGCTGTAGCCTGGCTCTTCATCTCCTGCAGCTGCTGGTCCCGCTCTTTCTCCCGCTGGTCTGCAAACACACACGTGAGACGTTGTTAGCAGCAAGACACAGGCTCCGTTGGGTGATGGACACTTTCCCAACCATCCCAGAGGGTCCTACTCGCTGTCACCAGTCCAGAACTGGCCTACTGGAAGGACGACGTCCTCAGCTTGGCAGACCCAGGAACATAGCAGAAGACACAAGACACCCCTCCTTGTCCTCACCACTGCCAGGATGCACCTACTTGGGCACCCCTTCTGGCTCCACCTGCAATGCCTCTGTGACCGACAGCTCTGCCGCTGACACCCTCCAGAGCTCCCAGGGCAGCAGCTTGCAAGCCTCTGACCCTCCTTCCTCCCTGGCCACCAGGCCCAGTAGCAGGAGCAACTACCTCGCTTTCGCTGGCGCAGCTCCCGCATGGCAGCACGGATCAATCGCCGCTCCTCAAAGTCTGTTGTCTGATCTAGCTGCAGGAAGAGATGGAAGTTAGCGTCTCCCCACGTAGCCGTCTCTCCTGGCCTTGCTGTGGGCTCCCTCACCTCCAGCCTGTGCCCTTCCTACCTCTTGGGGACTGACCTGCTCCACACCCCACTCCACCCCTCTGGGAGCACAATGGCAGAGGAAGTACCATCTTATCCAGCACATCCTCATCCTCGATCCTGTTCAGCTCCTCGACACTCAGCTTGCTCCTCTTCTCCGGCTCCCTCACTTGGACCTTCTCCATGCCATTGGGAAGCTCTGGTTCCAGCCTCGGTGCCTGAGGCTGCTCTACAAGCTCTGGCTCCATCTGCAATGACAGCACTGCATGGCTGAGCTCTCTTCAGCTCAAGATACATACATCCACTCTCATTCTGGCTGCTGAAACATCCCTAAATGCTTCCCACTACTGCCTGGGCAGGCAGACCCTGCTCCAGGAGGAGGAAAGCCACAATCAGCCCCAGCCCAAAGATCCCACACAACCCACTGCAGCCCACCGGGGCCCTACAGCAAGGCAGGGGGTGCTCAGGTGATCCAAGCTGGGCCATGCTATGCCTGCTGCCTTGCAGCTGGCAAGTTGCTGGCAAGGCCAGTGTGCACCGTTAGCAGTGGCAAGGGATTTCCAGGGAATTAAGGGACTTAACAGAAAGAAGAGCTTGTGCAGGAGATCAAGAGCCTCCCTGTCATCTCTGCTCAGAAACAAGGCCAGCTTAGCCCCTCCGGGACCAAAGCCAGGGCACCAAGTCCCTTTCAGCACGACCCACAAGCAATGTGCCCCAGGCAGCTGGCCAGGCCCAGAATAGGACAACAAAGGGAAGGGACAGGAGGTGTCAAATGCAGGGCCAAAGCAGCCCCTCCGCACACCTGACTCCATCCTGCATCCCTGCCTGCCAGCCAAGCAAGAGGGCCAGGCAGGCGCGTGCTAGCCTGGCACCCAGCTTCCCTTGCAGTTCAGCCCAGGCCAAGGTGCCAGGGTCTGCTGTTGTGCCCTAAGGCAAAAGCCCCTGGCGGGGGAGCAATGCAAGATGCCCTAGAGCCAGATGCCTTAGGACGAGAGCACCCAGCAATGCCAGTGTCACCAGCCCATGTCACCGCCTGTGGCTCTTGCTGCTCCACGAAACACATCCCTGCGGTACCCTGGGCTGGGAGCCAGTGGCAGGGGAGCCAGGACAGCTGCCCCGCAGCCCACTGCGAGCGAGCGTGGCTGGGCAGCCAGTGTGGCTCCCGCACCGCCCCAGCTGGTATGCCAGCAATGTGAGGCAGGCAGGCCCCATTGGCTCCGACTCAGGGCCAGGGGCCCTGCCTGGCATTAGCCTTCCCCAGCAACAAACAGTAATCACTAGCTAATCCCTGTGAAACTGCGCCTGCTTGTTCCCAGCTGCTGCCCCAGCCCCCAGCTGGTCCCAACCCTCAGCAAGGGTTTCTCCTTGCCCCCTGGGCTCTACATCTTTGCTCAGCCTGGGGGGGGGGCCTGGCCACCCCTAAAGGATCACAGGCAGGAGCCAGCAGGGCTCAGAGGAGCCCCATGTCTCACAGAAGAAAGGTACAGAGTGGGGACAGGCAAGGGCCACTGTGTCCTGCCCCCCTGCCATGCCAGGCACAGGCAGGCGCTATGGCTGAAAGGGCTGCCCAGCCCTCACTCTGCCCCTGCCCAGACCCTGCCCGCACTCACAAAGCTGTTGTTCCTGGAGAGGTGCACAGACGACTGCCGGCGCGTGCTGGAGAAAGTGGGCGGATGGGCAACAGGACTGCTGGGCTCCTCAGTGCCCTCGAAATGGGCGCAAGGGTCCTGCGCCTCCAAAAAAAGAGTGCTGAGGTCCTTCTCCTCGGGCTCCTGCGGCCCCAGCCACAGAGCAAGCATGTCAAGCTGGCGGCCCAGGCGCGCCTGCTCTGCCCGCAGCACCAAGTGCTCTTCCTTCAGGTCATGCAGGGTGCGGGCTAGAGGCTGTACTTGCCGCAGAGCCTCCTCCAGCTGGCCCTCCACAGCCTGCCGGAAGGCCTGCAGATCCAGACGGAGCTCCTCCAGCTCAGCCACCTTGGCCTGGGCCAGGCCGTGCAGGCTGACCCCAGGCATGGTGCCGGCAGGCTCCAGGGCTACGGGACACAGGCGCTGCAGTAAGCTCCTCTCAGCTGTCACCTGCCCTTTATAGGGGCTCCAAGGGCACCACCCTCCAGGGCTGGAGGAAGGACCATGCCCCAGCATGGCTCTGCATGCCTGCTCAGCTATTCTTATCGCCTGCGCTGGGGGTCCCGTGCAGGGGCACTGAGGGAGGTGCTGACACTTGGGAAGATTCCCAGGCCCCGCGGGACCAGGTGGCCCAGCAACGGGGGCTGTCCCAGGCTGTGAGACAAGAGCACCACCCTGCAGCTCCATGCCGGGGCAAAAAGTCCAATGGCTGCTGCGGAAATCAGGGTCCTGCCTTAGCCCCATGCCAGGCCCACAGTGCACTCAGCTTCACCCTGGCAGCAGGTGCCCTCGTGCCCAAGCCATACCCCCACAGGGGTTCCTGCATGACAAGAGACCTTGGTTCTGGGGAACAGCAGATGGGCATGGACAGAGCCACACATACGCAGGAGGCAGCTGCCTTGCCAGGATCTGCCCCAGAAGCATTGTTTTGCTGGTTTCCTCTAGACTTACAGCCCCTCTGTAGAGCCTGGCAGCTTGAGTGGCCTGGGACCACCCTGCTGGCCTCCTTTGCCCCTTCTCCCACTGCTGAGGACTCTGTCTCCTGTCCTGTGTCACCAGTAAAACACAAACCTCTTTGGCCCCAGTCTAGCATGAACACAGGAGGGCCTTTGCCACCAGCTGTGACTGGGGTGGGGGCAGAGGCTGGGGTGGGGTGGGGGGGTCCCTCAGGGGACATCCAGCTCCCCTTACTGCTTGCAGCCTGTGCAGATCAAGTCCCCAAGCAACAAGTACACATGCCACCCTGCCAGCATGCCAAGCAGAGAGTGCACATGGGGGCAGCTCTTGTCCCCCAGCTCTGCAACCACCCTCAGGCCCCTGAGGACATCACCCCAGAGCCCAGACCCTGCCTGGGACAGGAGGGACCCCTACCTGGCAGGGCTGACGACACCTCCAGCTCCTCCTCCTCCTCCTCCCTGCCTGTTCTGGGCAGCTCAGAGCACACCTGGCAGTCGAGTCTCCCGCTGGGCAGGCAATGGGTCCTGAACCCCCTACCCCCAGGCAACAACACTGCTAATGCCTTAATGAGAGTTGACAGGCCACTCAGGCCAAGCCTGCCTGAGCGCATTAGTGTGGAGAAGTTGCCCCTCTGCAGGCAGTGAGCTGCCCATTGGCAGCAGGAGCTGTGCCCTTCCCCCAGGGCTGCCTGGGGCAGGCAGCATTTGCGCCTGACCCCACTAAGCTCTGGGCACTGTCTGCTTCATGCTGGTAAAGACAAGAGCTGAGCCTCAGGCTGGAACAAGCAAGCGGTGCAACAGCCATGCCTGTGGAGGGAGTGGGGGCAAGTCCAGCACTCTGCCTTGCAGGGCAGCAAAGAGCACCCACTTCTGACATCCCAGTTTCTGCCAACACCATTCTGTGCACGAGTGCTTTATATTACCCTAGATGGCCAAGAGCGGATAAAAGCACTCAAAGAGCTGTACACGCATGGCTGACTCTTGGGCCCCCACAACCCACATCACCCTGCACAAGCTTTGCTGCCCCACCACTCCCGGGTTGCAGCCAGCTCTTCCCCCCAAACAGAGCAGAAGGATTTTTCCAGTCATACCCAAGAATCCTTGCTCACATCAGGTGAGCACATACCTGCCTCTCTCCTTCTGCCTTGAAGGCAAGCAGAGTAGGGAAAAGACAAGAACTCCAGCACACTGCACCTGCACTCAGAGCACAGGATCCTCTGTGCTCCCCCACAAGCAGGCTCCCCATCTTTACAGCCAAGGGCCATTCCCAGGAGGGGAAAGTTCCCTCCGCCCCTGGAAATTGAAAAAAAGAGCGGGGGGGGGGGGGAAGGGGGAGAAGGGAGACCCACAAAAGGCTTCCAAGTCCATCTACTGCCCCCGAGAGTCTACATACACTGAGGGCACAGCTTAGTCCTTATAAGGCTCACATGGCCTGGGACGTGGCTCCACATACAGACCCTGGGGATCCCCCCGTGGTGCATAAAAATCAGTCTGAGCCTCCCAGTGCCCAGACCCTGCCACCAACACCAATCCACCTGCCCTGACAAGCAAAGCAGGACTCCACCCTGAAGAGCTGCTGTTCCCCATCCCGGGTAGCTCAGAACCCACACACCATGCCTAACCAGGTCACTGCCCTGCAGGTGCTGAGCACTGCTGGGCACTGCCTTAGGTGCACACTCACCTTGTTGACATTGCTGCTGCTGCTAGGGATGGTGGTGATCCGGATGGGAGTGCTCCTCAGCCCTAAGGTCAGCTCTGCAACAGGAGGAATAAACACTTGGGGCCTGCCCCATCCCTGTAGATTCAGTCCCATGCCTGTGGCTGGAGAGAGACAACGACTCCCACTGGGCTGGCTGGATGCCTTGCGCATCCTGCCTCAGCTTCACAGACACTGAGCTCTGGTACAGAGAAAGGACTCCGGGGACAGCCTACAGATTCAGAAGCCACTTCATGAGGAGGGGACTTGGCTCCCCTTACCACCCCCAGACCTCCCTCCACCTTGGGCACTTTCTGCAGCTCTCCAGCTGGAGCCAAGACAGCTCTGCACGAGAAACAGCCCTGGAAGAAGGTAGAGCCACAGGAAAGCAGCTCAGAAACATCTAGATCCAGTAAAGTCCAACCATGAGCTGGCAAAGCTGGAACACACACATTGCACATCAGCAGAGACAGGACAGGACTGCAAGGATGCACAGATGTGCGGGGCAAGATAGACAAGGCAGGTCTGTGGGGATGGATAGAGCAGAACTGCAGGGACAGGGCAGCCTGCAGGGATGAGAGGAGACATGGCAGGACTGCAGGAACAAGGTAGGGGTTTGGGGCAGGACTGCAGGGATGGGAGGGAATGGGGCAGAAGTGCAAGGAATGGGGACAGAGCTTGGCGCCAGTGGCCCTGTGCTGAGCACAGAGGTGCACTGGGCAGGCTGAGTGTTCTCTGTCAGCGCATGAGGGCTGCCAGGCATGAACTTGTGCTCTTCTGGCAGGAGGCATTTGCCCACATTGAGCCTCCTGGCTGCCAGTGTCCAAATCCCACAGCTGCTCACCCGCCCACTGCTACCTACATGTCCCATCGGTGTCCGCCTCCCCACTGCTGCTTGCCTGCTGGTTTCCACCTGCTCATTGGTGCCTACCACCTTGTCAGTGCGCACCTACCCATTGGCACCTATCTGCCCCATTAGTGCCTACCTGCCTGCCTACACGCATCATCCTATCGGTGAACACCACCTCGCAAGTGCTTGACTCTCCGACCACTGCCTAATTCTCTGCCCCCCCTGCCCCTGCCCACCTGCCCCATGGTGCCCACCGTCCCATTGGTGTCCACCTCTCCATCAGAGGCCATTTCTCTGACCAGTGCCCACCATCCCATCCCATCTCTCCGGCCGGTGCCCACCTGCCCGCTGGTTGCTGGGGGCCCCCACGACACGGGTGCTGAGGGGCTGCACACGCCCATCCTTGATCTCGATGGTGAAGTAGGTCTTCATGGCGTCGTGCACGGTGGGGCTGGCGCCGCGGCCGGTGGGGCGGGG